AAAAATTAAAACACCCGGGGGGGACAAAAGAAGGGAGGAAAAAGGAAAGCCGTCGAAACAAAGGGGAAAGGGGGGTTTTTTTTTTAAAAATGAAGTTTTAGGTAGGGTACGAAAAAAGAAAATTGAGAAAGAAAAAAAAAGATTTTTTTAAAAGATTTTTTTTTTGGGGAAAAAAAAGCGAGGGGTTTTTAAAAGGGGAAAAAAAAGGGGAAAGGGGAGCCCCCCCGTTTTCAAAGAAAAGGAAAGGCGGGCCCACCCCCAGTGGGAAAAAGCTTTTTGGGAAAAGAAGAAACCCAAATTTTTCTCCTTTCTCAAATTTTAAAAATTCCCCCAAATTTTTTATTTTTAAAAAAAAATTTTTCTCTTCCCCCTCTCTTTCTTTTTTTCTTTTTCCCACTTTTAACCCTTCTCCATTTTTCCTCCCCCCTTTCCCTTTCCCTTTTTCCCCTTTCCCCTCTTTTTCTCTTCTCTCTTCTATTTCCTTTCTTTTTCCCCTTCCCTCCCCCTTTTTTTTCCCAATTCGTAACCAAACGTATTTTTAAAATTAACCCCATTGCTATACTTAAAACCCTCTTTCCCAACGTTGTTTATATCGTACCCAACTGCCCCCTTTTTAGTTTATAAATCTTCACTCTTTTTGTTTTTCCCCTTTTTCCCCCTTTTTTTTTTTACTGTAGCAAACAAAAAGTGTTGATATTCTTGGTCCTCTAAAACATTACATCTAAAAATCCCCCAAAGTCTTTTATTTACCAAAACATAGTCCAACAAATACTTCATTTTGCCCCGCACATATCTTGAAAACTTATTTATCCTCTTTTTCTTAAAATTGTGTTACCTATAACCAAAAACCCTTTCATACATAAGTCAATCAAATGCTCCCCCCTTTCATTTTGACTGCACTCCAAAATTAAATCCACACCCTCTCTCAAAAGTTTTTTTTCTTTTGCAATGGGCTCCCCCACAATTATCTCTACACCTGCTTAAATCTACCGAAATTATATTATACATATCTCTGCTGTGTGTGTTTTTCGCTTGTCTCTGTCTCTCTCTGTCTCTTCTGTCCCTGTCTCTCTGTCTCTCTCTGTCTTCTGTGTTCTCTCTCTGTCTCTCTCTCTGTCTCTGTCTCTGTCTCGTCTCTGTCCTTCCCTCTTCCTCTCTCTCTGTCTCGTTCTCTCTTCTCTGTCTCTGTCCTGTCTCTCCTGTCTTTCTGTCTTGTCTCGGGCTCTCTTCTCTTCCTGTCTTCTCTCTCGTTCTCTCTCTTCTGTCTCTGTCTCTCTCTGTTCTTTTTCTGTCTCTCTCTGTCTCTCCTCTCTCTGCTCTGTCTCTCTGTCTCTAGACAGTCTCTTGTCTCTGCTTCTGTCTCTCTCGTCTCTTCTGTTCTGTCTCTCTGTCTCTCTGTCTCTCTCTCGTCTCTCTCTCTGTCCTCTCTCTTGTCTCTCTCTCTCTGTCTCTTTCTCTGTCTCTCTCTGTCTTCTTCTGTCCTCTCTGTTCTCTGTCTCTCTGTTCTCGTCTCTTCTCTGTCTTCTCTCTGTCTCTCTCTCTGCTCTCTCTCTGTCTTCTCTCTGTCTCTTCTTGTTCTCTCTCTCCTTTTCTCCCCTCTCTCTCTCTCCCTTTTCTCTTCTGTCTCTCTTCGTCTCTCTCTCGTCTCTCTTCTGTCTCTCTCTCTGTCTCTTTCTCTTTCTCTTCTCTCCTCTCTCTCTCTCTTTTTCTCCTCTCTCTCTCTCTTCTCTTTCCCCCTCTGTCTCTCTCTTGTCTCTCTCCGTCTCTCTCTCTGTCTCTCTCTCTGCTTCTCTCTGTCTCTTCCCTGTCTCTCTCCTTTTCCTCTCTCTGTCCTCTCTCTCTCCTTGTCCTGTCTCTCCTCTGCTCTGTCTTTCTCTGTCTCTTCCTCTTCTGTCTCTGTTTTTCTCTTCTCGTCTCTCCTTGTCTCTGTCTCTCCTCTTTTCTGTTTGTCTGTCTTGTCTCTGTCTCTCTTCTGTCTCTCTTTCTCTCTGTCTCTTTTTCTTTTCCCCTTTTCTCTCTCTTTCTTTTTCTCTCTTTCTCTCCTTTTCTCTCTCTTTCCTCTTCTTTTCTCTCTTTCTCTCTTCTTTTCTTCTCTTTTCTCTTTTTCTCTTTCTCTCTCTTTCTCTTCTTTCTCTCTCCTTCTTTCCCCTTTTCTCTCTCTTTCCTTCTCTCCTCTCTTTCCCCTCTCTCTCTCTTTCTTTTCTCTCTCTCTTTTCTCTCTCTTCTCTTTTCTTCTTTTTCTTTTCTCTCTCTCCTTTCTCTCTCTCTTCTTTCTCTTTCTCTTCCCTTCTCTCTCCCTTTTCTCTCTTCTCTCTTTTTCTTTCTCTTCCTTTTCTCCCCTGTCTCTCTCTCTCTCTCTTCCCCTTCTCTGTCTCTCTCTCCTCTCTGTCTTCTTCTCTCTTCTCTCCCGTTCTCTTCTCTCTTCTCTTCTCTCTTCTCTCTCTCTTCTCTCTCTCTGTCTGTCTGTCTCTTCTTCTCCTCCTCTTTTCTCTCTCTCTCTCTCTCCTTTTCTCTCTTCTCTTTCCTTCTCTCTCCTCTCTCTCCCTTTTTCTCTCTTCCCTTCCCCCCCCCTCTCCCTCCCTCTTTTCTTCCTCCCCCCTTTCTTCTCTTTTCTTCTCTCCCCCTTTTTCCCCCCCCCCCTGAAAATTTTTCCCCCCTTTTTTAGTTTTTTTGCTAGGGTAGGGCATATCCTTTCATTCAAACTTGAAATCTTCACTCCCCGAATTAAACATCCCCCTTTTGTTAAAGTTTTTTTATTTCTTGTTTTAGTAATTTTTGCAAAGGTGGGGGTGTTTCTGCCCATTGTTTTGGCAAGGCCTCTTACAAAAAAAGCTTTGTTAGGAGGAATTGTTTCCACTTTCCCCTAAATTTTAGAAAAAACAAAAAAAAAAAAAAAAAACCCCCAAGGGCTTATTTTTTTGTGCACATTTTTTAGTATCCCAAGTGTAAGTAGAATAGCAGACATGTGAACCTAAAAATTTTTTGGGACAGAAAAAAGACACAATCCACCATTTCAAAACAATTACAGGCTTACGTTTCACATTCATTTGGTAGGATGGTAGTACCTCCCTGGGTGGTTGCTGTCTACCAACCTACAACCTTTTAGTAATACGAAAAAAAAAAAAAAAAAAACGAAATGTACTCATATTTTGATTGTGTACACCAATATTTATCATAGTATAGGGCACAAAACTGTGTGGAAGCTCAGGCAGTATGAGAAATTTATTTTTTACACTGGACAAATTGTGGAAGCTTGGGTCGGGTGAGAAATTTCTTGTGCTTTTTTGCCTATCAGAATTTCACTTGCATGGCAGATGCACTTCCAGATTTCTCAGACATTATTTACTAATCAGTACAAAGTTCAGACCTTTATCTTTTCATTGAAAATAAATTCAGATAATCAGTAACTGTGATATTGTGAAATATGGAGAAAGAAGAGAACTTTGGGAGCAAGAAACACTGCTGCGCATCAGATGCAGCTTGTGTTTCCCCTCGGTTTTCCTGACCAGTGGGATGAGTCCAGATGTCTGTTATAACTTCTTTGACATAAGGTGTATTCCTGTCACCTGCCTTATAATTGGTTAGGAGTAAAGTTTGCAAAGCCTGTATAGTTTCCACTTCTCATGCCATGCCATCTTTAACAGTCTTAGGGTCAAAACGCCCTAAACCTTCACTTAACACTTCCTATGATTCTCTACACTCCTCCTTCCCTCGAGTGTGTGAACACTTGCTATAACGCACTTCTCTATAAACCTTTATTCTAATTTATATAATTCTTCAGTTTAAACACATGCTTACTGTTTTTAACTCTACCATTGTTTAATTAATATTGCTTCTATTCTCTTAGGTCATTCTTTCAGATAAACCTGATATAACCCAGTTTATTCCTCCATAATTAGGTTTGTTTCACTTAATGCTTGAATATTCTTGGTAGGAGACTGTTGAGGTTGAAAAAAAAAAAATTCCCTTCTACATACATTCTTATTACTACTAAAATTTCTTTTGTTAATTGATAGAGATAATAGCTCCTTGCTCTTATAATTTCAGTCTCCTATTAAGAAACAAAGTTGACACAGAAAGGATTTTAATCCTACTTTTGCATGAAATTGAAACAAGCAGGTCAGAGGGTCAAAATTCAGAAATTATGTCGATGAAGTTTACACTACCACATCACGTCTCTTGTAGTGTGTACTGGACAAAAAAGGTTAATAGTTTACTGCATCACGTACAATGCAAAATTTTAAGGGACCGCAATCCTGCTGGACAGTTGTTCCATCTTGATGGTTGCTGCCTACAACCTAGTCTTGTATAGTATTTTGACACATTTTCTAAATAATTGGACATTTTTCTTCCAGACATCCCTGAAGATATCTAGTTCAAATTTGCTATTTTCAGGATAACCATTTCCAACAGAACCACAATACTAATTTCTGTATGTAATTACTGTTGTGATCCAAGTTGTGTTTATGGAAATAACAAAACTTGAGGGAGGTTCAGGTACTATGTGACTCTCTGAAATAACAGTAGGTTTCAGAGTGCTGTGGTACTCCTGGTTAATAAAATATACACCTGAAGATTTATGTACACAAGAGGTTTAATAATTGTGACAAGGCTAAAATTTTTAGATATTGGATCAGGGATCCTATTTCATAGCCTGGGATAGTTAATGGATAATGAATACAGTTATAATGATATTTGCAAAATATTGTTTTCATAAATAAATGGAAGTAGGATGGAAGTGTAAGTTTTATTGGATTTGAGAAACTTATTCATGCTTTGGTATCAGCTTATGAGGGGATACGAATCCAAACAGTATGATTACCAAAGCATTGAGGTGGGCCATGTCATCAAGCAAACTCTTAAGAATTGAAATTTTTAGCCAAGAATTGGAAAAAAATATTTATTGAACCTTGTAAAGAACGGCAGTATCTTTGGTGATCTAGCTGTATGAGGGATTTGAAGTCATATAGCTGGAACACCATGGGGCATTGCTGTTCTTATAATCTCCACTTGCCCTACAGTAGAAAAGTAATATTTTTGTAATTTACATTTCCTTGTGCATTGAAACAACTCTAATCTATATGACACTTTTGGGTTTAGTGCTTAGTTTTGATGGTAATAATAAACTACTGGAATGCATTGTATTTCAGGTTTCGTGCAAAATGTGTGCACTGAGAGCATGACCCCAAGAAAACGAGTTTGCAGTGAATTGGAGCGAGCCAATACTGCTTTCTCTCTTGAAGACATCGCACATCGTTTGGCTTACTCTCAACCAGAAACACCAACCCCTTCTGTGATAAATACTGCTGTTGTAAGTTAATGCATGAAGCATTGTTTGCACGTAGATGTACCTGGTTTTTATATAGAAGTGCTCAGTGGGTGGACATTAGGTTAGCTGCCCTTTTTTTTTTTTTTTTTAACAAGTCAGCTGTCTCCCACCGAGGCAGGGTGACCCAGAAAGAAAGAAAATCCCCAAAAAAGAAATTACTTTCATCATCATTCAACACTTTCACCTCACTCGCACATAATCACTGTTTTTGCAGAGGTACTCAGAATACAACAGCTTAGAAGCATATACGTATAAAGATGCACAACATATCCCTCCAAACTGCCAATATCCCAAACCCCTCCTTTAAAGTGCAGGCATTGTACTTCCCATTTCCAGGACTCAAGTCCAGTTATATAAAATAACCGGTTTCCCTGAATCCCTTCACTAAATATTACCCTGCTCACACTCCAACAGCTCGTCAGGTCCCAAATACCATTTGTCTCCATTCACTCCTATCTAACGTGCTCATGCATGCTTGCTGGAAGTCCAAACCCCTCACCCACAAAACCTCCTCTACCCCCTCCCTCCAATCTTTTCGAGGAAGACCCCTACCCCGTGTTCCTCCGCCTACAGATTTATACACTCTCCATGTCATTCTACTTTAATCCATTCTCTCTAAATGACCAAACCACCTAAACAACCCCTCTTCAGCCCTTTGACTAATACTGTTATTAACTCCACACCTCCTAATTTCCACACTCCGAATTTTCTGCATGATATTCACACCACAAATTGCCCTTAGACAGGACATCTCCACTGCCTCCAACCGTCTCCTCGCTGCAGCATTTACAACCCAAGCTTCACACCCATATAAGAGTGTTGGTACTACTATACTTTCATACATTCTTTCTTTGCCTCCATAGATAGTTTTTTTTTTTTTTTGTCTCCACCTATACCTCAATGCACCACTCGCCTTTTTTCCTTCATCAATTCTATGATAAACCTCATCCTTCATAAATTCATCTGCATATGATCATCTGTATTATGTTTATATGATATGTAGCATGTTTTTATACATTTACAAATAACATGTGATAACTGGAATAAAGAAATTCTCAAAAGTACCATAAATATACAACATTTTATAGTGCCCATAGCAGCATACTCCTGACATCATGGTGTGTCAAGCACTTTTGAAACATACAGCAGCTTATTTCTTGTCAGGGATAAGCTCCTTTCACTTTGTAATGATACTGAATGTTGATTTTAATAAGTTAGGGAAAGAAAAAAGAATCTGAAAAAAATTGCCAAAACTTCACTACATCCGTGCGAGGATATGCTACCTGTGGCATCATCATCATAAGAAATGTTGTTTTGACTATAATTCTTTGCAGAAACATGGTACAAATGTGAGATTGGCACTAAAATGTTGCCAGTGTGTTGAACTATTTTGCTCTAAGTTCAACTCAATTTATTTTTATTTTTTGTATCATCACACTGGCCGATTCCCACCAAGGCAGGGTGGCCCAAAAAAGAAAAACTTTCACCATCATTCACTCCATCACTGTCTTGCCAGAAGGGTGCTTTAAACTACAGTTTTTAAACTGCAACATTAACACCCCTCCTTCAGAGTGCAGGCACTGTACTTCCCATCTCCAGGACTCAAGTCCGGCCTGCCGGTTTCCCTGAACCCCTTCATAAATGTTACTTTGCTCACACTCCAACAGCACATCAAGTATTAAAAACCATTTGTCTCCAATCACTCCTATCAAACACGCTCACGCATGCCTGCTGGAAGTCCAAGCACCTCGCACACAAAACCTCCTTTACCCCCTCTCTCCAACCTTTCCTAGGCCACCCTACCCCGCCTTCCTTCCACTACAGACTGATACACTCTTGAAGTCATTCTGTTTCGCTCCATTCTCTCTACATGTCCGAACCACCTCAACAACCCTTCCTCAGCCCTCTGGACAACAGTTTTGGTAATCCCGCACCTCCTCCTAACTTCCAAACTACGAATTCTCTGCATTATATTCACACCACACATTGCTCTCAGACATGACATCTCCACTGCCTCCAGCCTTCTCCTCGCTGCAACATTCATCACACCATGCTTCACACCCATATAAGAGCGTTGGTAAAACTATACTCTCATACATTCCCCTCTTTGCCTCCAAGGACAAAGTTCTTTGTCTCCACAGACTCCTAAGTGCACCACTCACTCTTTTCCCTCATCAGTTCTATGATTCACCTCATCTTTCATAGACCCATCTGCTGACATGTCCACTCCCAATATATCTGAATACATTCACCTCCTACATACTCTCTCCCTCCAATCTGATATCAATCTTTCATCACCTAATCTTTTTGTTATCCTCATAACCTTACTCTTTCCTGTATTCACCTTTAATTTTCTTCTTTGCACACCCTACCAAATTCATCCACAATCTCTGCAACTTCTCTTCAGAATCTCCCAAGAGCACAGTGTCATCAGCAAAGAGCAGCTGTGACAACTCCCACTTTGTGTGTGATTCTTTATCTTTTAACTCCACGCCTCTTGCCAAGACCCTCGCATTTACTTCTCTTACAACCCCATCTATAAATATATTAAACAACCACGGTGACATCACACATCCTTGTCTAAGGCCTACTTTTACTGGGAAATATTTCCCTCTTTCCTACATACTCTAACTTGAGCCTCACTATCCTCGTAAAAACTCTTCACTGCTTTCAGTAACCTACCTCCTACACCATACACTTGCAACATCTGCCACATTGCCCCCCTATCCACCCTGTCATACGCCTTTTCCAAATCCATAAATGCCACAAAGACCTCTAGCCTTATCTAAATACTGTTCACTTATGTTTCACTGTAAACACCTGGTCCATACACCCCGTACCTTTCCTAAAGCCTCCTTGTTCATCTGCTATCCTATTCTCCGTCTTACTCTTAATTCTTTCAATAATAACTCTACCATACACTTTACCAGGTATACTCAGCAGACTTATCCCCCTATAATTTTTTCACTCTCTTTTATCCCCTTTGCCTTTATACAAAGGAACCATGCATACTCTCTGCCAATCCCTAGGTACCTTACCCTCTTCCATACATTTATTAAATAATTGCACCAACCACTCCAAAACTATATCCCCACCTGCTTTTAACATTTCTATCTTTATCCATCAATCCCGGCTGCCTTACCCCGTTTCATTTTACCTACTGCCTCACGAACTTCCCCCACACTCACAACTGGCTCTTCCTCACTCCTACAAAATGTTATTCCTCCTTGCCCTATACACGAAATCACAGCTTCCCTATCTTCATCAACATTTAACAATTCCTCAAAATATTCCCTCCATCTTCCCAATACCTCTAACTCTCCATTTAATAACTCTCCTCTCCTATTTTTAACTGACAAATCCATTTGTTCTCTAGGCTTTCTTAACTTGTTAATCTCACTCCAAAATTTTTTTTTATTATTTTCAACAAAATTTGTTGATAACATCTCACCCACTCTCTCATTTGCTCTTTTTACATTGCTTCACCACTCTCTTAACCTCTCTCTTTTTCTCCATATACTCTTCCTCCTTGCATCACTTCTACTTTGTAAAAACTTCTCATATGCTAACTTTTTCTCCCTTACTACTCTCTTTACATCATCATTCCACCAATCGCTCCTCTTCCCTCCCGCACCCACTTTCCTGTAACCACAAACTTCTGCTGAACACTCTAACACTACATTTTTAAACCTACCCCATACCTCTTCGACCCCATTGCCTATGCTCTCATTAGCCCATCTATCCTCCAATAGCTGTTTATATCTTACCCTAACTCTGCCTCCTCTTTTAGTTATATAAACCTTCACCTCTCTCTTCCCTGATGCTTCTATTCTCCTTGTATCCCATCTACCTTTTACTCTGTGTAGCTACAACTAGAAAGTGATCTGATATATCTGTGGCCCCTCTATAAACATGTACATCCTGAAGTCTACTCAACAGTCTTTTATCTACCAATACATAATCCAACAAAACTACTGTCATTTTGCCCTACATCATATCTTGTATACTTATTTATCCTCTTTTTCTTAAATAATGTATTACCTATAACTAAACCCCTTTCTATACAAAGTTTCAATCAAAGGGCTCCCATTATCATTTACACCTGGCACCCCAAACTTACCTACCACACCCTCTCTAAAAGTTTCTCCTACTTTAGCATTCAGGTCCCCTAGCACAATTACTTACTCACTTGGTTCAAAGGCTCCTATACATTCACTTAACATCTCCCAAAATCTCTCTTTCTCCTCTACATTCCTCTCTTCTCCAGGTGCATACACGCTTATTATGACCCACTTTTCGCATCCAACCTTTACTTTAATCCACGTAATTCTTGAATTTACACATTCATATTCTCTTTTCTCCTTCCATAACTGATCATTTAACATTACTGCTACCCCTTCCTTTGCTCTAACTCTCTCAGATACTCCAGATTTAATCCCATTTATTTCCCCTCACTGAAACTCCCCTACCCCCTTCAGCTTTGTTTCGCTTAGGGCCAGGACATCCTACTTCTTTTCATTCATAACATCAGCAATCATCTGTTTCTTGTCATCCGCACTACATCCACGCACATTTAAGCACCCGGGGCGCATTCCGAGGTAATCTTTAAGCCTAATTTTTTACTTCAAATTCTTTATGTAAACTTCAGTATTTCTTCATTGTTATTGCATTTATGTCTTCTGCAAATGCTTATCAATTACATGAGCAGACACTCAAGAATATTAAATACCAAGTTGTCATCCTTGCAAGCTCTGCACATTCTTGGGAGGATAGGCAGATGAAATCTTATAAATTTAATCAGTTGTGTAGTCAGACAATTAATGTTTTATTTTCAGTGTGGAGACAATATGGATTTGAGAGTGGTGAGCTTCTCTCAGCCTGCCCAGCCTGAAAACCTACTGCTATCACAATTAACTCAAGGAACACAAGCCAGTCAAACACCACTGCAGCGCTTGGTTAAACGAATGACAAGAATACTCGTGAGGACCACTCTTGAAGACACTTTAACCCATCTTGAGGCGTTGTTTAACAAAATGCATTATACCTATCGCTATCACACGGCTCATGTTGTAAGTTTACACCCTGAAACTTGTAATGTTGGTATTGTGCACCAGAAACTGTTTAGCACTGAATTTGAACAGTGGAGTAAAATGCAGTTTTGCTACTTATTCTGTCTTGTCTCTGGCTGTATGGAAGAAAGGAACTTGAAAAAGTTTAATACAAAAGCACTGCAATCAAATATGATTCAAGTGCAAAGTCTTGCTATTTAATCTGTTAACAAGTGTTAAATTTAATTACCTAGAATCAGTTAATTTATTTTACCTAGAACTTTGGCACTGTAACCTAAGATACAATATTGATTGCAGAGTCAGTGTAAGTTTCTTAATCTTCCATAAGCTTTCTTTCATTAATGATGAAAGGTCAAAAATATAATAAATAACTCAAATGCAAGCTGCTCTATGATTTTTTCAACTATCAATATTGTATCTAAAGCTATGAAGCTACGGTATTCGAAGACAGTACTGACAAAGGAATGTAAATAGATATCATAAGGTGTATTAATAAATTTCGTATTGTTTTAACATTATTAATGCAGAAAAACTAACTCCCATACACAACCACACAATTTTTCTGATGTACTTAAGGTTAAAAAACGAGGTTTTTTTTTTTTTAGCGTCTTAACTTTGGCATATCCTAGAATTAAATTTCCTGTGAGTGCAGTAAGATTTAAAAAAAAAAAATTCTCACTGGTTGAAAGAGTATATTTTTTTTAATCAAATAAGACTAAAGTGAAATGGATCTGATCACACTTAAGATTCTTAAGATTTTATTGTTTGTTGAGTTTGCAAAAAAATATAGTCACTCATTAGCAACAGGCTATGACCAATACGAATTGAGCACATTTTGTATTTGGAGGAACTAAATTTTGGTTTGTTTTGATGTGTGGCTTAACATTTTATTCCTTTTCAGATGACTGTGACAACATTGGACCGTCGAGGTGCCCAGTTGGTTCTCAAAGCCAGTGTACTTGACATGGGACAGAACATTCTTGTTGACTTCCGTCTGTCTAAGGGTTGTGGATTGGATTTTAAGCGGCATTTTTTGCGTATCAAAGAAGGATTATCGCACATCATTGTTAAAGGGCCAGTCACTTGGAATATGGCCATGGCCACCAACATGCTTCCTGCATAATGACCAATAAATAATGCATTGATGAGGTTTTTATAGCCAGAATAGTAATTTTGTTATTCTTTGTTTGATTATGATACTTTTTTTTTTTTTTTTAAACATGCTGAAAGCCATGTTTACCGATGAAGACAGCATTTGTTTTTAGATGTTGACCCCGTGGAGTGTTTGGTGCTTACCCATTTACAGCTTCAGCCTAATCTTCCTTTCATTTATAGGTATGTATTTTTCATTTTAGGTTTTACATTTAGTTTTCAACTATTGTCCATATATTAGCTGCATTGCCAGTAGTGCATAGCCATCACAGTTTAAATGACCCTTCATCTGCAATATAACTATCCAGCCTTCAGAGTGCTGGCACCATTTTTGCCAGAAGGACTAGCCTGGATAATAGTTTCTTTGAATCCAATGATAGTTACCTTGTTTACACTATTCATACAGTACTATTTCATAAATAGGTTCACTATTTTTCCCTCTTGTCCAGAATACTTAAATTTAGTCCTATAATTATAATCTAGCAGGGACTTCTGTTTCTTATTATTAACCTTCTCTCTCGGGCATATGAACTTAGTGCTTGTTTTCTTATTATAATTATCTCTCCATAGGTTTGTTCTTGCAGAAATTCCTTTTTATTTGGAATTTAACCATTTTTTTTTCCTCCAGAGATTGTGCATAACATCTGACATTCCTTTGGTGATGCCTCTTTCCTTTTAGTTTCTTTTATCTCTAATAGCTCTCCAGTATCTTTTGCTCGTGTTGTCAGAGGTGGAATACAGAATTAAAATACAATCTACTGATGCATTTCTCATGTCTAAATTAAAAACTTGCAGTGATCAATAAGAGAATATTGCACTGTGAGAATAGGTCACTAGCTTGCACAACACTTTTTTATCTGAAATATCACTTCTCAGATGCAAGTAGCTCAGATGAATATGCATTTTGTAAAAAAAAAAAGTTACTAATGAATGCTGCAACAAAAAGGTAAAAGGGAACAAAGATGTCTAGTTTGGGAGCAATGTGTGCTTTGTGGTTCATCAGGAAGAGAATTTGGAGCATAGAAATTTAAACTTGATATGGGGTGACCAAGGGTGTAGAGGGATGAAGAGGAATTATTGAGGTGGTTTAGGCATGTAGAGGCAATGGAAAGGGATAGGTTGATAGAGGGTGTATAAATATGGAGTGGACGGAGAGGAAGAAAGGTTAACGTTTATGGCTTTGAGTATCAAGCAGACTTGTGTGAGCATCTTGGACTAGGAGTGCATGGAGAAAAGTGGTTTTTAAAGGATGCGTTGAGAGGAAAACCTGGGAAAACTGGTTAGCCAGAGGGATAGGGATGTTGCAGCCAGAGGATAATCTGATTGTGATATCAACACACTTCTGGAAAGACTGCAGTTGAGCGAGTTTTCTTCTTTAGGTCACCCTGCTTTGGCAGTATACGGCTGCAGTTAACCCGTAAAGGGTCCAAACGTATATATACATTTTTTCCGCTAGTGCCCCAAACGTATATATACGTTTTGTCATACATTCAACATTGCCACGATAAGCCTGAGTCGCCTAAACATGAGAGAATGGGTGTGCGCACTCACTGCACCATATTAAAATAATTGGGGATGCCTGTATACCATATGCTCTTTTTTCCTATTAAAAAAAAAAAAATTTCCTAAAAGTTGGGGCACTACGGGAGAGAACGTATATATACGTTTGGACCGTTTACAGGTTAAAGAGGGGAGGGAGCATACCATAAAATGGAAGTAGATTCTACAGATTTACTTTATAAATACCATTATTGTATCTTCTTTACTAAAACCATCTTGAAGTAATTATATGCATATTTAAGACGAGGTTGCAATTTGCTGGTTACGTAAAAAACTTCAGCTTCTGTTTTTTTCAACACCGGCCGTCTCCCACTGTTACAGGGTGACCCCAGAATTTTTTTTTTTTTTCACATTTAATAATTCATACAGGAGAAGAGGTTACTAACCCCTTGTTCCTGGCATTTTAATCGCCTTTTATGACGTGCATGACTTAAGGAAGGAGGATTCTTCTCCACTTCGCTATGGAGTAAAGACTGAAGCTGTAAATGCAAAAAAAAAAAAAAAAAAAAAAAAAAACTAAGCAACTAGAATACTTCCTCCTATCTCTAGGTCTTTTATATTTCTAAAAAGAATCTCCTAATAAAATTATACTAGGCCAACCTCTCATCTGATCTACTATTTCTTCTGCAACATTAACAAGCTTCTATGAATTTATTCCTCTTCAAGGGGGGGCTCCTTGGCGTGGTGAAGAGGCTCTTGGTCTGAGGAATTAGACCTGTCGGTCTTCTTCCTCAGACCGAACCTAATTACCCCCCAATCCCTCCCCTCCCCTTTTTCCTTTCCTCCTCCTCCTCCTCCTCCCCACCCCTCCCTTTTGCCCTTCCTCTTTTCGGCCTTTGGATTTCTCCCACAGGCGCGCTAGTTCCTAGGTAGGGGAAAGGATACCGGGGTCCATCCCATTCCGTTGAGGTTCTTGGCGGTGGCGTAGTTTGCCGTGGAATCTGGATCGCCTGGGGATGTCCCGATCCCTCTCCGGTATCCCGGAGTAGCTTTGGGTGTCTTTCGGGCGACGGGTGTATCTCTGGAAGCCACCTTTCGGATTCCGGGGGTGGTGGCCGAAGGAGGTATGCTTTGTGGCAGATATCCGGCCGCCCTCTTTTGTCCACCGAGGTAGCTCGGCTGATGTGAGGTTGCTATCCCGGATTGCTAGTTTACTAGCATGATGGGTAGGGTATGGCACGGGTTCCATGCTGCATCTGCGCTACTTGCGGTGCTGAGGTCCTCTTGGGCGCGGAGGGAGATTTCTGGCCCTTTCATTCCTCCTAGGAACTATCCCTCCCCGGTCCTCCCTTTTTTTATTTTTTTATTTTTCTTTTTTCTTTTTTTTTCTTAAAAAACAAAAAGAAAGAAGTGACCTAACCATGGCAGCCCTAGTCCATGAACCTCCTACCCCCGGGCCCCTTCTTGATACCGCACCCCGTTCTGACCCCGCCTCGTCTTTGGACCACTCTTCAGACACTCCTCATGCCTCTGTACCTCTTGCCGGTGCTGTTTCCTCACCCGCTTCAGGTACTGAGGCCTCGACTGACTCCTTCGATTTATCGGACCTTCGCTCTCCTCTGACTATGCTTCCGGCCTCTCCCTCTATGGTGCGGCAATTTTCAAATCGCCGACCCGTTCCACGTCTGACCAACTCTGGTCCCACGCCTAAACGCCAACGACAATTACCTGCTGATGATACTTCTCCACCTTCTCGTTCTTCTCAGAAATGATCGACACGTCCTGCACTACCTTTCCACGCTCGGTTTCAGACTGGACAAGGGACTAAATTCTTCACTTTACGACCGACTTCCTCTACTGCCTATCTTTCTGACCACAGTATTGGCAAGGCACTCCTACGCCATGTTGGTAAAGATATTTCTTTTCATGCTCTTAAGAGCGGTACGCGCATCATCACCGTACAGAATGCTACCCAGGCTCATGAGCTCTCTCGTCTTTCCCATATCGATACTGTTCCTGTCACTCTTGAAAAACATCATTCCCTCAATTCTTGTAGTGGTACCGTCATTCTGCCCCATACCATAGTTCAACAAAATTTCCAGACATGTGGCACTGACATTCTTGAACAGCTGGAACTCCAAGATCTCCCAATCCTCAAGGTAGACACTTACGTTCTTCCTGCCCGCGGGTGAGACGATACCCTAGCAATGTGGCTCGTTTAACTTTTGACAGCCGAGAACTCCCATCCTCAGTTTATATAGCAGGAGATCGGTTACAAGTCCGAAAGGTGATCCCTACACCGCAACAGTGTAGAAATTGCTGGCGATTTGGCCATCCAGCGAAATATTGCAGATCTATCACCGAATGCCCAGTCTGTGGTGCCAATGACCATTCTCATACGTCTTGCAATCGATCTCCCTCTTGCCTTAACTGTCATGAGGCTCACCCTTCGTACTCTCGCCGTTATCAAGTCTATTTAAACGAGCAGGAAATCTGTTACCTCAAAGAGACAGAAGGTCTCCCTTATGCCATGGCAGTTTCTCATCTCCGCCTCCAAGGGAGACTCCCACGTGTTTCTTATTCCCGTGTTTCAAAACGTCCCCCCACTTCTGGTATCCCATCTTCTACACCCACCTCTGTGGTTACCTCAACCATAGTCACTCCTGTATCTAATCCTTTTGTTGTCCTCGGCTCAGACGTCCCTACTTCAACGCCTCAGTCTGATCTCGCTTCTTCGTGTTCTCTCTCAGAAACCTCAGTAATGACGAGATCTCGTATGACACCTCCTCCCAATCGTCCCTCTACTTCTCAAAAGTCAAAAAAAGGTCCGTTAACACCTCTTACCCATCTTCCACCTCCTCATTTTACCCTCCCTGGTTCTCCCCCTCTCACTGGCTCTGTTACAAGTGTAAAGGTTCACCCTCCTCCTCGTACTGTACCTTCCTCCCAGGTTTCTTCCTCTTCTGCCACCTCCCAGGTTTCTGCCTCTTCTGTCCCCTTCCACGCTTCTCCAGTTCCCTCCACCCTTTCGCCCCCCCCCCCCCTACCTTGGTACAGTCCAATACAGTTCCAATCTTTACTCATCCTCCCCCTACCATTTCCAATATTGTCTCCCATACGACGTCTCTGAATTCTGAAACACTTGAAGCAATCTCTGAATATATTGCAGAGACCAAACCATCAATGGACACTGATCCACCCTCTGTTCCTTCTCTCTCCTCTCCTCCATCTGCGCAACTCATTTCTTCACAGCGCACCGTTCCTTCGCTGCTTGAACGTTTTCCACTGCCTCCGCATGTGGACTTTTCTAACCCCTCTAGTCCGTAGGAACCCTTACCTGCGGATTTCAAGTATCTTCATCATTGCCAATCATGGCCTATTTACAGTGGAATATACGCGGCCTCAGGGGTAATCGGAGTGAGCTTCAGATGTTACTCTCCCAGTTTGCCCCTGTTGGTGTTTGCTTACAGGAACCAAAATTACACTCTGCTGTTATCTCTCCCATCTCAGGCTATAATTTATTGTATTCTTCAGATCCTTTTCCTGATGGGACCTTTAATGAAAGTGCCCTTCTTCTACGCACTGATATTCCGTACCATCAGCTATTTGTTCATACTTCGCTGCATTACACAGCAGCCCGTATCCACTTGCATAGGTGATATACGCTCTGTTCTTTATATCTCTCTCCTTCTCGGGCATTATCTATTCCGGATATTGCCTTTCTTCTTTCGTCATTACTGCCACCGATTCTGTTACTTGGTGATTTTAATGCCCACCATTTCCTCGGGGGGGGGGGGGGGGTCTCACTGTGATTCCCGTGGAATTCAGTTAGAGGCTTTTCTTGCCACCCACCCCCTCCATGTTTTAAATACAGGTACTGACACCCATTTTGATCCTCGGACTCATACTCTTTCTTGCATCGATCTCTCAGTCTGCTCTTCCTCCACCGCATTAGACTTTACTTGGTCTGTTCTCCCGGACTTGCATGACAGCGATCATTTCCCAATCATTCTTACTTCCCCTTCATATTCACCACCTCTTCGCATCCCACGCTGGCAATTTGATCGGCGAATTTGAAGCTTTTACTCACACCTACTGTTTTTTAGAGAGGTTCCCTTCTTGTCCTCCATCATAGCTTATTCACATCTCTCGTCCTGCCGTTTTCACTGCAGCTTCTCATTCTATCCCCAAACTTCGGCAGGCATTCTCAAATGCTTGCCTTGGTGGTCTCCTCTTGTGCTTTGCAGTCCCGTGATTTCGGGTTAATAATGTTCTCCCCGGACTGTTAGCAGCTGATGTCGTCCCCCATGGATGTGTTTCTACAAACACTTTTTCTCCTCTGCTATTAATGATGCTCTATCTTACCATCAAATACTTTGGCATCACTCTAATGTTGGATGCTCTGCTATGTGCTGTGCAGGCGCCTGATGTCACATCATACAGTTTCTCTCCAACATGCAGTCGACAGGTGTTCCAATTGGGGCCACACACGTGGTTTCTTTTATATATTATCTTTTCCATCACTAAAACCCACCAAATACTTTCACTAGACGCTCTGTCACCTCCGATCACCGTTTGTACCTCTATGGCGTCCCGTATCCCTGAACGTGATTTAATTTCGGCACTCCTCTTGATCAAAGTTATCACTGAAACCTCGCATACCTCTCGAAGCAACTTGTACCATCAGCTGGCTGAACCCTTCTTAAAAGCCCCTTGTCATCTTTCATGGGGAGCTGATCGTCGAACCCTCCTCCGCCTACATTCCACCCTTATTTTATCGAAACTTTATTATGGTGACCAGATCTATTCAGCGGCATCTCCTGCTACTCTCTCTAGCCTTAACCCCATTCATCACCAAGGATTACGTTTATGCCTTGGTGCTTTTCGCTCTTCCCCTGTCGAGATCCTCTATACAGAAGCGAACGTTCCATCCTTATCCGATCGCCGTGATGCCCATTGCCTGCGCTACTATATACGCTCTCATGTTCTCCGCAATCCTTCCATTTATAGAATGGTCACTGATATTAGTAGACATTCTTTGTTTGCCGCCCGTTTACTCCGTCCCTTCTGTCTTCGCCTTCATTCGCTCTTGTCTTCTCTTCAACTACCACCTTTCTATATACATGTAGCATCTCACTTTTCCCTACCCCCCT